CTTCAGATCCAAATTTCTTTGAATGTGTCGGTTTAAAAACTAAAAGGACAATGTCTGGGTCCTAACTGTAATATACTTTCAAATATTTAGGTCCACCTGATATCTAAAAATTGATTCTCCCAAAATAAAAATTACATAATACAGGCAAGAAAAAATGAGAGAATAGTCAATTTCGATTTAAACTCAATTACAAACCATAAGATTGATACCTGCTCTTTTAAATGAAGTCGTATTAACAACCACATTGAAAAATATCAGATCCTTCTACAGAGGACTAGGCCTGGAAAATAAATCGAGAGTGACACACAGTATCTTCCCCTTGTTGCCTAATTTTAGGGTATTAATATTATTGTTTATTTTAATAAAGGTTATAGGCTCGCCAATTGATCTGATCAGAACTTAATAAGGCTCTTGTCCCAGAATCAGGCTACACAAAGTCTTGCAAGGACCCTCGGGATGTATGACAAGGACACTCATGCTGGGAACAAAACACAAGAAAAGACTTTTATTGACATAAATGGAATAGTAATCAAATGGAAAAAGGAATCAATCAGAATTAAAACGGAAATAATACTGTTCTGTCTTAGAGGTACATGTGATATCATTTGCTATAAAACTTCCTAGGTTACAACTCACACCCTTCCTTGATAACCTGATAGTAAGAGGCAAAGGACTAGCCTCGACTGTGGCATGCCAAAAGAGTCCGATGGTCCAGGTTCCTCAATTCTCGGGTGGAAGATGAAAAGCTTAGGAGAAGCTAGAGAGCTAGAAAGCCCCAAGAAAAACTAACCTAAAACCTAACTAAATATGGTGGTTTGCCCCTTTTATAGCACCTGAGCACTATGTACCCACCTTCTATGTCCACATTTAATTTCCTCACCCACATACTATAGGGTACGCTTACTCTATAGGCTGGTATATTCATAGGTATTAATGTCAATTAGCTCATTCTCACGTGTCATTTCTGGCCTGAACCGGTCGTTGTTATTTCCATGTTCTTTGTGGAGTACCCATTAAGTGTAGAGGGCAATCGGTAAGCCACTTATCTATGTCAAAGATCACAAACTTGCTTTAGCTCATCATCTATGCTAAAGGTCACAAACATATATATGCTAACCTGCTTTAGCTCATACTAGATGTGGCCTGTAGGTTCCTTGAGTTACTGCCAAAATCCTCTAATACAAAGCTATAAATCTATTATAATAAACAACAAAGGCATAAGAAAGGAAATAACACAGCAAGCAAGCAGGCTAGACCTTATATTTCCAAATACAACACTGCTGGATTTGCTAACAAACTAATTAAAGCATAAGACCTCAACTAGGTAGTTATATAGTTTACCGGGATGTTAGCTTATAGCTTTTTTACTTTTAAATTCTCTGTTCCAAGCCTTGAATTTCATCCAAATGCTGCTGAGGCCCAAGTATGGCTACAGCTCATGTCAGACAGTATCAGTGAGTGAGGTATTTGCATGGCTTTGAAACTGCCCGTTAGCAAGCCAACTGGCTGAAAGCACTAAAAACTAGAGGTTTTAAATTGTTTTAGTGTATTTTACTGCTTTGTTCTCTCTTTAAGAGGACTGAAAAATAAATTCACAGGGGGTCGCTAAACGCCCAACAAGTGTGTTTTGGAAAATGCATCAACAACACTGAGCACAGCAGTAATAATGAGAAATTTAGATCAGACCAGACCACTGATCCCGGAAGGCCACTATGAGGAATAAGAAAAGACTTGTGGCAGTTATTTTAATGAGCTCTAACTTGCAAGTGTAGCCAACGCCTGAGCTAACAAACCCATCTAAAATTCTGCTAGGTAACAAAAAGAACAGGAGTACTTGTGGCACCTTAGAGACTAACAAATTTATTTGAGCATAAGCTTTCGTGGGCTACAACCCACTTCTTCGGATGCAGCCCACGAAAGCTTATGCTGAAATAAATGTGTTAGTCTCTAAGGTGTCACAAGTACTCCTGTTCTTTTTGGGGAGACAGACTAACACGGCTGCTACTTTGTAACCTGCTATATAACAGTTCCCCCTAGTGTTCAATAGGTGCAATAAAATGGAAAAAAGGTTTCTCATTCTCACATAGTTCTATTGAGTTGCATACCTTAGTTCTTCCTGTGCCATTGACACATCAGACAGTACAGTTCCTCCACGGACTAAATCACTTGCCAGTTATGGTACTTTTTCCCTGGTGATCCCAGCACATCCAAGATCCTCCTGTCACTGTCTTCTGCCTGTTCTTTCTTGTCCTTTCTCACTTTCTCTTTCCTCCCTCGAATACCCAGCTGAATGTTTGCTTAGTGTGTCTCCCATCTTCCATATGATGTACCTCTCCCAATCATCTGAACCTTCTTTCTTTGATGATATTTTCTAACATGTCCTGCTCTGTCAGCTCCCTTCCTCTCACATTTGTTATTTTATTATTCTATAAAATGTATTGTCTCTTCCACAGGCATCTGTGATGAGAAGCCTCTGATCTCTGCCATTGGCCAAGTCTCTGCTCCATACTGTAGCATGCTCAGCACATTCACATGGTATCATCTTCTCTTTAGTTTGACGGGGAGACTTCTGTTTGACCAGATGTTGTTCATCTTTTCAAAACATGGTGTTTGCTTTTCCTCATCTTGCATGAATATGTTTATCAAAGACACCTTCAAACGTCATTACACTGCCCAGATAGCAGAACTCTTTTTACCTGTTTAATTTCTTTTCCATCCTCATACACTTTCGCATCTGTTGTCCAGTTTCTTACCTTCATAATCTTGATTTTCTCCGCATTTATTTTCAATCCCATTTTTGCTGCTTCCTATTCTACCTCTGATGTAAGAGCAATCATTCTTGTTCCACATCATACTTAGTAAAGCAGTATCACCGGCGAAGTCAAGATCATGAAACTCATCTCTGCTAACTCATTTTACACCATCCACAATGCATTGTGTTGTCTGTTTCATCACCCAATTTATTGCTAATGCAAAGAGGACTGGTGATAACTCAAACCCTCATCTAACTCTAGTCACAATATCAAACTACTGACCCTGTATTTCAGCACAGGGAGAAATGTACAGTATATAATTCAGTGACGCTTGCTGACTACACAAGAAAATGACTGTCATGGGGATTTCAGGAAAAACTCTCTCACTTTAAGTGTCAGCTCTTAATAGTAAAGACTCTTCTCATACACACTAATACTTCCGTGTCAGACCTGGAAGGGATTAGAAGAGCTTGTCTGAATGCTTGAAGGTGAAACTGTCCTCCTAGATTATGTAATTTGCTCAGAAATTCCCAGAGTGCTTTCAATTTTGTTGCATGAATGTGGTTTACAGGATCTATGTAAAGTACTCCATTGTAAGATACAATGTTGGCATACTATCTGGGCAATTAATGTTGACTACAGTTGAAACGAATGAAAGCAGCACAAGCAAAAATGACAGTATTAATGTTAAAGTCAGGTGGCTTCTCAGTACTAGTACCTCAATGTCAACACTGAGAGTGATGCAAAATGATCCGCAAAATGTTGCTAATACTCTGGGCACAAGACAAAAGGCTTGAATGGATTTTCTTTCTGCCCAACTTACTGCTGTTTCCAAAGAAGTACGCATTTCCCTTGTAGTACTGTACACAACAGATAATCTTAACATGTGTCTTTTTGGGACAGAACCAAATTAGTCTTCTCCCCAGAGCAAGATTTCTTTATGGAATCTCCAGAGGAGAAAAAAGTGGTCAGAGAATCCACGTGGAGTACACTGTTCCCTTGTGGTGTTAAGCAAGTGGGTTAGAAACAACTGAGCCTTTGTGAAAAGCTGTGTTTGAAAAAGGAAGGATGGAAAGAGATAACAGATTAAAGCTACACAGAGGGGAAAAATTGACTCACTCCTCCCAGTTCTCATGAGCCTGAAAATTTCTGACAGGCTTCACTCACAGTTTGATGAGGTGTGCAGGAGACCTAGCCATTTCGGGCACTAGGAATACCCATTCACACTAATGCCTAAGAGAAAAAATGTTTTTGAAGCTTGTTGGAAGTATGAGGGAAGCCAGTCAAACTTCCACTCTGAATTCCCCAGAGGAGACTATGGCTCTTGTCTGGGTGTTTATTCAAGTGAACGCAGATTTCCTGGAAATCACAGAGGATACACCTTTAGTGTCCAAGGAAAACAGAGAGGGGAAAAGAAATATCTTAATTTGCTGAACATTAATTAATTAATTAGAGGGTACAATTCTGGGAAGCTGCTGAGCATCCGCAACTCAAAGACTCAGGCAAGAATTAGTTTCTTCAACAGATTACACATTTCCCATACATCTCTATGGGGATCTTATGTTCAGTCACACTAGTATGCCTATTCTTTGCTGGGGAGACATCAATTTTTTTTAGGAATGGAGTTATTTTTCTGAGGATAGAAATGAGCAAGATGACTCAACACACTGAGGTTTTTCTTAGTGTCCCTTTTTATTTTGCTGAAAATCCATCCACCTCACATAGTTTCTACCTCAGCAAACATATTTTTTAATACTTCTTTGCATTTTGACTATGAGAACTCATGCTGAACACTATAAGGCAAACAGTTTGAGAAAACTTTGGCAAACAGCATCCATTTAAAGCAAATGTGCATGTGTGTAGGTGTTCATCTGAGAAAAAAGGATGGTTAGACAGAGAATTTTAATTTTGTCCTTCATTTTTCCGTGAACTGGGTTAGACAAGTTAAGCAAAAGCAGACAAATTATTACATTATTTTTATGTAGAGCTGGTTTTGAATATTCTCATGCACTCTTATACACACACAGGTCTGTCACATCTTAGGCACATTTAACATGCGCAATTTCAGCTTTACACAGTCGGCAAAAACAAAAAAACAAACTGTTTCTGTAGTGCGGGCGATTCCACCCGCAATTACACTCAATGTAATTTTGACTATACACGATTTTCGCTTTAGGCGCTGACTGTGGAACGTAACCACAGCGTAAGATGAGACAGACCTGTACTCAAAAGAAGATCTTTACTTACTTGGTTAGTTTATGGCCTTTCATTGCTATGAGGAAATCTCTCACAATCTCAGGACTTTGGAATCTGCATGGTGTTTTGGATATGTATTTCAATGTCTGCACAAGGTTGGAAAAAAACAGATTATTACACATTTATTTTTGCTTTGAGTCATATGAGATCTCTATGAAACAAGTTAGTTTATGAAAAATCTCCTCACTCCTTTTGAGAGAAGTCTGACTGGGGAATTTAGTTCTTTAACGTCGTTCAGAAGGTAGAATGTACTGTCATAATTGGCACAATCATTTGGATTTCCCTTGCTTCACGAAGATCATATTAATTTTTGCTGAAAGTGTAAGCAACAGGCAGTATATAAAAAAGTAATTATGTGATGGCAATTATGCCAGCACTTATCTAGGAAACCCTTCTGAAGTTGGTCCATACAGAGAGACACGGTCTAATGCTGAAAGACAGGAACTCCTATGTTCTAACCCAACTCTGAGGGTTCCCTCTGTAGTGTTGGACAATCACTTGACCTTCCTGTAACTTCACTTGCCCATCTGTAAAATGGGGATAATATCTACCCAGATGTGTAAGTGCACTGAAGTGTATGGATGAAAGGTCCTTTTTTAGTGCTAAGCATTTAAACACATGCAATTCAAAGAGTATTCACCTGTAACACATTTTCTTTATTAATTTGAATGAAATAATCTTAACTGGCAGATCAAATTGGGACCAAGGTATTTTTAACATCATCAGAGATTTAGAATGTTTTGTATATGTATAATTCTAACAATACAGAGGATTTCAAAACCTTGTTTAAAAAGGCATCCAGTTGTTAAAACCGAATTGAAGAAGAACCTTATCGTATTTATCCTTGGGACCACGTAAAGTTCTTTTCTGCCAAGTGTTCATGAATTCAGTGCCAATGGTACTCTCACTGCCAGGCCATAAATAGCTCATTTGAGCTCCACAACTGAAACAAAGCCTTCCAGCATAAGGATGTTTTCATCTTTTACAGCTGAAAGCGTACTGTAATCAGCATATCTGGCAGTGCTTTCCCAAAGAGCTCAGAAGTTATTTATGCAGATCACAATTAAAAAAAACTTTGCAAGGATATTGTAGTAATTTATTCAGATATTGTCAGTGAGACAATTCACTTCCCTGCTCTGTTGACCTTTTACACTAACATACGCTTTAAAGGATATGTTATGCTTTGTTTCTCTGTTTAAATGAATGAGAATCCAAGATGACAGATAATACATCTTTCAACTTATCCGAGCCTGTCATCCTAACTAAATGGAAGGCTTGGTGAAGAATCCCTGCTTTAGTTTTAAATAAGTATATGCAGACTGCAGTTTACAGCTCCCTTTTTAATTTGACAATAACTTATGAGCTTTTGTGGGCATTGCTTGAAAAACACCCACTATAAGGAATTGGGATCAGAACAGGATTCCAGAGAATTCTTGCATTTTTCTGAAATAAAAAAGTACAAACATACTAAACATTACTATTATTTACCAATTTCCCCATTAAAATACCATTTTCTATTAGAGGAACACAGCGCTATTTCAATTCTATAATGATTTCTTTTCAAAACTCTGCTGCTTCTTCCATTAAAAAAATCAATTAAAAGTATAAAAATGTCATATTAGGGTCACATCAAAATTCAGTTCCTGTTTACTAAGATAGATCCAGCAACTGCAATACCAGTGGACACATGCATGTGCAAAACTTGTGAGTCTGTATGCGTGATGGACAGAAATAATTCCATTAAGTTGAGTACCTAAAGCAAGTACACCTAGAATTAATCTCTCTCTTTCTACTGGCACAAATAAATGTCTAGATGGCAAAATGCATGTGAAAGCATTTCATATACTGGCAACAATATAATTAAAGAGTTAAACTGTAAATTATGTTTAGACATAAATATAATCACAGAATGGTCTTTCCCCCCATACATTTGAAATACATCAGAATGAGATAGTAAATCTCAATGTAAAATTAAATTAGATTTTTGTAAACTCTGTTTTATCAAATCTAAGGCTTATAAATTGCAATTTTGTCCTTTCAGACAAAAAACAAACAAAAAAAGTAAGCCTGGATGAAATCTTGCTCGCATGAATAGTTCCCCAGCAGTCAATGGGACTATTCATGCAGGCCAGGAAAGCTGGAACTGGCCCAGTATTAACCATGCTGATATTAAAGACAATTCTCTTCCACGGCCACCAGAGGTCAGACTACAATTTTTTTAAGTAATTACATTTGATAAAGCTGCTAATTTAAGATATTCAGAACCATCCCATCATGTTAACGATCAGTAAATAATAGTTTTAAAGATTTTTCTAACAACACATCAAACATTTAATACTGAATTTACCCGTGACTGAATGTATAATTTAGTTTCACTGTGTAATCCAAGATAGTAGTTTCTTTTTTAGTTGGAGAATTTAATTTACTTGTTTTTAACAGAGAAATCTATAGACCATGTGAGTTCTAAACCTCAGGTCTGAAACTCCTAGCCTCCCTGGAAGTACAGATTCAAATACAGGCAGCACGTGCTGGCAGGCTTAAAAAATATATTGAATGTAGTTTGCTGTGTTGAGGTCTTTTGAACGACACCTCGAAACCAGAGCCACAGCCTGTCTGCTCTCTATAAACATTAAAAATCCTTTGGCCGTTTTCATAAGAGCAGGAGTTTGTCCTTGTGTCCTTGACCAAAATTGCTCCTTTCCTCCATGATGGTGCACACCAGCTAGCCAGCACTTTCCAGCTGTATTTCAGTTGTGCTGTACGCGCGCAGCTTAAGCACCACTTTCAGATTTTTGGGGGAGGAAAGTTATATTACAAAAGTCAAATATGTATTTACTGAAACAACATTCATGAGTAGAAAAATTCCAAGACAATTTTGCATGTGTGATTGTAAATGATGAACACTGAGATACAGGCCAGCCTCTGACTTCTGTTAGGGTGCTAAGGGCTATAGCTCTACTCACTTCGTACATGATAGTGTTCAGATTCTGCTGGCCAGAGCTCTGTTTGTGTTTTCCACTATCTTTGCGCTGCTGCTTAAGATCGGTAAGTAACTGGAACACCTAAAAAGAAAAAAAATTAAAAGATTTTTTTGAACTAGTTTAGCATTTTTTCTACTGCCATTTTTTAAACATGTGTTATTAAATATTACCAATCAACTACAAAAGATTGCCCTACTAGTGACTGACTGTGGGATTAAAATGGAGACATTTTGGTAATGGAAAAATTATTTGTATACAAGAAATGATGAGACAGCAGATCATTCTAAATTATGGTTATTGGTCTTGAATTACACCTCTACCTTGATATTAACGCTGTCCTCGGGAGCCAAAAAATCTTACCGCGTTATAGGTGAAACTGCGCTATATCGAACTTGTTTTGATGAGCCACAGTGCGCCCCCCCCCCCCCCGGAGCGCTGCTTTACCACGTTATATTCTAATTTGTGTTCGTTATATCGGGGTAGAGGTGTATGTTGCACAAAAAGATGTAGGAAGTGTTGGACCAAAGCCTGTAGATATTTGAATGGACTATCAGCACTTGTTGAAGCCTTACCCAAAAGCCCCCATGGAAAAAGTGGTTACCAGAATGAAACTATCAGCCACTTAACTCTATTCCGGGCAACTGCTGGCTATGTGTCACACCCTGCAGTTCTCAATTGAAACTCCCACTGAAATCAATGTGCCTGTTGCTGGAATACCGGCTGCAGGATATGGCCCTATGTTATAGTATGTAATGTGTGTATACGGATTAACCTACAATATTAAAAGAAAAATATTCAAAATATTCTGTTTTACAGAAACTTAAGTGTGCTGTAGGTGCAAGAAGAATGTGTGCCCTACAATTGTGTTTCTGTAACAAGCCTACAAAATTAGAGCCTTGCTGCAAACACGACTAAGTGTAGTGGTGCTCCTATAAATTCACTTCAGTGGGGCTGCCTGCAGTGAGCACTATGCTTACTAGTAAGTATTTCTGGGATCAGCTTAGCAGGGTGCTCAGATGCCACAGTGATAAGTATGGTATAAAAACCTCAATAGCTTTTATTAGTACATGAGTTCCTTAGAAAAAATAAATACAAGCAGCAATATTGTTGAAAAAAGAGTAATAAAGACGTCTCCACATTTTTGACTGCTCAAAACTGTAGGAATGAAATTAACTATTTTGATATTTTATGTAATAAGAATTTTTAAACTAAATTATGTTTCAGTTTCTAAAATAAAGTATTGACAAACCTACTACACTCTTGCTACATCTTCTTGCATGACAGTCAGAACTGTAGTAAAATGTAAAGACAACTTCTGTTATTCTTTTCGGCCCCAATGCAGCAAAGCACTTAGGCTTCAGTGGTTCACATGCTTAAGTGCTCCCAGCCAGGCTGTGGGAGGCATTCAGTACTGAAATGTTTTAAATGATCTATTTAAAATTCCTTTTATACTCTGTGAAAGTTCTGTGTTCACAGAGAGCCCCCCAAAATGCATCCTTATGGGTCATCACTGATACCAAGAGTCTCTTCTGATGCATATATTGTCCTGGAATAAGGCATTCTGGCGCGTCACTAATGAGCTCAGAAGAGGGAGTAGATTTTAAGTCTAAAAAAGAATTCTCTAAATATTTAGTTAAAGAACAGTATTTCTCTATCTAAGCATTTACACTGTACTCATTATATTTGGGCCCAGAGTAGCAGATGGTATTATTTTTAATAATTGGTTGCAATAGACCAAAAATAAATACTGCTTACGTGCCCCATTTCTGAATTGTCTGTTGTAATTTTTAAACTTACTTTATCAGCAATGCTGCTTGCTGCCTTAAATTCTGGATCCCTAACCACAGATCCGTATTAAACTACAATTGCATTGCCTGGGAACAACTTGGCTACTTGTGCACTTATTGTGAGTGCCTTCACCTCATGCCTCCCAATATGTTCAAAGCTGATAACAAAATCTAAGTAATGGACACCCTTCTATTTCTGCTTCCTTAGTTTTTAACCCGCCCCACTCAAGTTTCACTTATAAATCCCATGGCCTTGTAAAAATTGTTGTAAAAATTGGTTCATAAAACTACAATGAAATATGATGAGCAATGTTACCAGTAACTCTGCCATTACAGCAAATGTTGCTATAACTGATCTTCAAACAAAGTGCAGTCTTTATATACTAAATATAGTACAAGTAAATATAACCAAACTGGGACTTGAAAGAGGACACTGATTCCACAAACCTACATACAAATAAATATCAGGTTAAATGAGGGAAAGTGAATTAGAGCTGCATTTACACTTTACTTATTCTAACCAATGCACTGCTCTTTTGTAATATTTTCTCTTATAGAAGGAGATAGGGAAGAAAGCATATTGTGCAAGATTCCCCCTGCCTTCATCTTCGTCAGCATAGTTCCTTCAACACTAGTTGGCATTTTCTAACTGTGGTCAAGAGAAACATGACTAGCCTTAATCCTATGTGGGATATCATTTCCTATAATTTTGCACATCTATAGCACCTGCCACCTGAGGATCTCAATGCACTGTGAACACATTAACTTTATACCACAGTACATACCAATACACTATTGAGACGGGCAAGTGTTGTTTGCAGATGATGAAAATGAGGCACAAACAGGTGAAGCAACTAGCCCAAGGAAATCTTTCAAAGAATCAGGGATAGAACCCAGATCTCTTGACTCACAGTCCTGTGCTTCATTCAGACATTTTTAATGCAAAATATTAGCTTGGCACTGATTGAGTTAGACACCCTCGTCAAGCTGCAATACAGAGAAACGAAGGCACAAATAGCAGCCCAAGAGAAAGAGGATACTAGTTTTAGAGGAATCTGTAAACAGAAGAGTGCTGAAAAATGTGCTTAAAATGCCTACAGCTGCAGACACTGCAAATCCCTTCCTGAAAAGAATTGAAAAGCTATATGTGCTGAGACAACTATGCTGAGAAAGGGAAATGGTGAATGAGCAGTCTCATCAGTAATTCCATTTTCCACTTCCTTTCACTTTCTCACTCAGCACATATGGGTGTATATGGCAATAGTGGGGAGGCATTGAGGCTAAGATGACGATGGCACAGACCGAGGGACAGAAAGTGGTTTTAATAAGTGCAGATATTTAGTGCATATAATTAAGGGTCCGATCTTGCAAAGTGATCAGCACGTCACTGCACTGGGCCCTTGTTCTGGGGTGCCAGAAGATTTACACAATGCAAGAATTCTTCTTGTACATGAAAGGTAGGATCCATACCCAATTTTACCATAACATCCTGGCATGTTGAAAAGGAATACAGAGAAGTATTGGAAAGGTCTGATTCTGCAGCAAGCCATAATTTCTTCTTCCATCCTTGCTTTCCATTCTGAGATGGTAGATTTTTTTAAATAAATATTTAATACCACACTTACATCCTCTGACATAAAACCATGGGCTATTTTCTATTTCTTAAACAATAAGATTCCTTCCAAATATTTCATTAAAGATCTTCTAATGACTGACAGGTGGCATACTCTGCCCTCGTCAAACACTTCAAGACTTAGCTCAAAATCAGGATGAAATGGATATATAACTTCAAAACTTCAGCAAGGAAATAATCTGAAGAAAAATGTATGGTTTTTAAAGCCTTTAAAAAAAAAAAGCACTGAAATCCTCAAGTTATCTGATTGAATTTGCACCTCATACTAATGTCACATTTCCATCTTACCATCACCAAAAAGGCATTTTCACTCTGAAGACTGTAAAAAAGGCTCAGTAAGGCCTTCTCTTCACTAAGAAAAAAAAGGTGTTTTCTTAACTAACATGGTAAAATCATAATGAAGACAAGGCAGTTGTAGTTCTCATATGTGTTAGCAGGTCAAGGTAAACCCTAGGCTCCCCTCTAGAGTTTACCTGGGCCGAATAACACATTTCCAAACAACAAACTATTTGCCATTACTGAGATTTTACCATGTTAAGAAAAGACATTTTTTCTGTAGTGTGGACTTACTCCAAGATCTTTTAAAACCAAGCTGTAAGAGACTTACAAAGAGCTTTTTTTTTTAAAGCACTGATTTTAATTTCAGTAGGTACTGCAGAGAGTTCTGAGCTGCAGGATGGTTCAAGTTAAGCATGAAATAGTGACCCTGTTAGCAGCAGCCGTTTCAGAAAACATCTGGATTGATTTTTTTTTTTTTTGGTCAAAGATTTCCTCCAGTTCTAATTCTGTTTTTCTCTGCAACATGAAAATGGATTCAGCAGTTGATCACAGAAATGTAGGGCTGGAAGGGACCTTGAAAGGTCATCTAGTCCAGCCCCGTGCTGAGGCAGGAACAAGTATACCTAAGCCCATTCCTGACAGGTATTTGTCTAACCTGTTTTTAAGAACAGGGATTCAAAACGACCCTTGGAAGCCTGTTTCAGTACTTAAATATCCTTGTAGTTGAAAGGCTGTTCCTAATATCAAACCTAAATGTCTCTTGCTTTAGACTAAACCCAATAATTCTTGTCCTATCTTCAGTGGATATGAAGAACAATTGATCATCCTCCTCTTTATAGCAACTATATTTGAAGACAGTTAGTAGGTTTCCCCTCAGCCTTCTCTTTTCAAGATTAAATATGCCAACATTTTTTTTTAACCTTTCCTGTTAGGTCGGGTTTTCTAAACCTTTTGTCATTTTTGTTCCTCTCCTCTTCTCTCCAATTTGTCCACATCTTTCCTCAAATGTGCACCCAGAACTGGACACAGTATTTCAGATGAGGCCTCACCAGGGCTGAGTAACATGGGACAATTATCTCCCATCTTTTACATACAGGACTCCTATTAACACACCACAGAATAATATTAGCTTTTTCCACCATAAACCCCAGATCCTTTTTAGCAGTACTACTGCCTAGACCAGGGGTTGGCAACGTTCGGCACGTGGCTGCCCAGGGTAAGTACCCTAGCGGTCCGGCCCATTTTATTTCCCTGTTCACGTAGCAGGTTCGG